AGAATAGAATAAAATAGAATAGAAATAAAATAGAGAATAGAATAGAAATAGAATGAAGTAGAGAATAGGATGGAGAATAGAATAGAAATAGAATAAAATTGAGACTAAAATAGGATAAAACAGAATAGTTGGAAGGGACCTCGGACCCCCTTCTCAGGCAGGAGACCCTCTATTATTTTTTAGGTTCAGATTACTTAGTTTGAAGTTTAGTGTTTGGAAGATAAGTAAGTTAAATTCACCAACCACATTTACCCAGGTCAGTTCATAAGTATAGGTAGTCCTCGACTTACAACAGTTCATTTAATGACCGTTCAAAGTTACAATGGCACTAAAAAAAGGACCGTTTTTCACACTTATGACCATTGCAGACTCCCCCGTGGTCACGTGATCAAAATTTAGACGCAAATTGGCAAATTGACTCGTATTTATGATGGTTGCAGCGTCCCAGGGTGACGTGATCCCCTTTGGCGACCTTCCGACAAGCCAAGTCGACAGGGAAAGCCGGATTCATTGAACAACTGTGCAATTCACTTAACAACCACTGTGATTCACTTAACAATGGTGGCAAGAGAGGTCGTAAAACAGGGCAAAGCTCACTTCAGAAACATCTGGCTTAGCAACCGAAATGTTGGGCTTAATTATGGTCGTATGTTGAGGACTACCCATAGAAGGTAAGGGGGGGGGTGTCTTTAAGCGTGGCCATTTTGAAGACTTGTGGACTTCAACTCCCAGAATTCCCCAGCCAGCCCCACTTGTCTAGGGGATTTCTGGGAGTTGAAGTCCACAACTCTTAAATGTTGCCAAATGCTGGCTGTGAGGAATTCTGGGAGTTGCAGTCCCCAAGTCTTCAAAGTGGCTAAGTTTGGAGACACCTGGTATAAGGATTCCTGCTTCGGGCAGGGGGTTGGACTAGATGACCTCTTCTTAGCCCTATGATTCTATGTTGTGCAAGACGACCTTGACAAGAAGTATGGCTATTGCTCTTTTTTTTTTTGGCATGTCCTGATTAACCTGGTTACCAAATGAGCCCATTTCGCAAACTGGCATTGCAAACCAGAATTATACCACCCTCCCACTGCGCCCCCCTCCAGGAACCAATTGGCCCCCTCCCTTGTTCCCCAATCCACCAAATGAAAACAACAAAACCCCTTCTTTCGTTAGGACCCTGTCCACCTTCAGGAAGCTCAGGCTGCAAGGACCTCAGAGGTCATCCAGTCTGACCCCCCCCATCCGCCCACCCATTGAAGCCATCAAACGCACCGCTTGCAACGTGTCGGTCAGCTCTTTGCGCCGATTGCGGCATTTGGCAGCCGCCATTTTGTTCCGTTCCCGCCGTAAACGCCGCCTCTCTTCCTCTTCCGGGGTGAGCTGCGAAGGAGAATCCGGAGTTTAACTACACAACCCAAACCGACTGCCTGCGGAACCAGCCCAGGGCACAACACAACCCTGAATGCAACACACACACACACACACACACCCCTGCGAGAAACCGAGATACAGGTAGCCCCTCAACCTTGTGTTCATTTAGCGACTGTCCAAAGTTAGGATGGCCCTGGAAAAGTGATTTACGACCGGTTCCTTGGACTTTTGACCGTTGCAGCATCCCCCCCTCGGTTGTGGGATCAAAATTCAGATGCTAGTCCACCGGCTTGTATTTATGACGGCCGCAGGTGATATGATCCCCTTTTGTGACGACCTGACAAGCGAGGTCAATTGGGGAAGCCAGATTCACTTAACGATTGGGTGGTTCACTTAACAATGGCAGTAAATTGCTTAACAACAACAAAAAATCATAAAATCAGTCCCAACTCGCTTAACAACTGCCTTGCTTAGCAACGCAAATTCTGATCCCAGCCGCGGTTGTAAGTTGAGGAGTACTCGTTCTGAGGGGTACATCCCGATTTTTCAGAACCATTTTTAATCCAATTCTGGTTGATTCTAGACTGAATCTCCAGACCCGCAAACCAAGATTATGGTGTGTATAAGAAAGCAATTTTTATTTTTTAATATTTCCAACTTTCAGGATTGGACTACATCTCCCATCGTTCCCTACCCCCTGGCCTGCGCAGCCTGCATTTAAGGGACAGCAGCATCCAATAAGAACCAAAATTAGACTGGTGCCCCTCTGTCCATAGATGCATAGATTGGACAAGCCGTTGGTCTAAAATGGTATATAGGGCTGCCTGCTTGAGCGGGGGGGGGACGGTTGGACTAGATGACCTCCAAGGTCCCTTCCAACCCTGTTATTCAGTTATGGTGGCTTCAACAAATTTGGTTTGGAGTCTCAAATGGTAATGTTACCTAATGGCCAGCAGGGGTCGCAAAACACCAGGAAAAACCCAGGAGAATTTTTTTCCTGGTTTTCTGCCAATTTCTTCACTTTTTTATTTTCCCTTCTCCAAACTTTTTTTCCTGTTTTAAAATTATTTTGACACAAGTGTGCAAACTGAAGTGCAACAAAAGGGGCTGTGTGTGTGAGAGAGAGAGAGAGAGAGAGAACTTCTCAAATCCAGCAACTGTAAGTTGTGAGGACTTCAACTTTGTCATGGGGTCCAACAAGTTATTTATACAAATAATAATAATAATAATGATATATTTTTATTGGTTAAAAATAATGATATTAAAACAATACTTGAAAACAAAGGAAAGGTTCACCGAATGTTTGTGGCAGAGTTTCCCTTCCCAGATACTCACGTGCTCGGAGTGGCGCCTCCGGGGCACCAGGCCGGGGCCCGTGGTGCGAATGACGCCAGGACGGATGCCAGCTGCGTAGTGCGGGCAGCGGTAAGGACGGGGGAATGGAGGAGGGAGTCCCGAGGAGGCGCCCATGAGCGAAGGCTGCACCATCCACTGCAGGTTGTGGCTGCTGGCGATTGTGTTGAGGTTGGGCACGAAAGGGGCGGTGGTGGCGCTGCTCCCGGCGGTGGGATCCGGCTGGAATTTCTGCAAGGAAGGAAAGAAAGGAAGGGAGGGAGGGAGAGGAAGAGGAAGGAAGGAGTAATTGAGGTGGAAAGGAGGTTGGAAGGAAGGGAAGGAGGGAGGGAG